GCACATTATCTATATTATGTGCAGCATTCTTCAACTTAGTGCTCTCTAGATATGTTGCATCTACAACTTCCAGAATTCCTGGGAATTCTTGGTGTTATAAATGCAACATATATTGGTGCCTAGAGGACATCAATTTGGAGAAGGTTATTACAGAGTGTAAGTGCTGGTACTAGAAAGTACAATGCCCAGAAAAAGGATGGGCAGGAAAGGTAGATAGATTCCACTGTAAATTTATAAAGCAGAAAACATGTCAGAAATGAAACACGTCAGAGAAACTGGATTATATTTTAAACTTGAAATGTCAATACAATTATTCTAATTCATTGTGATTGGCTTTTTGAAAATGAGCAGTGCATTATGGGATCATCAGTTACTCTTCTATTATTTACTAATTCTTTCCATTTTTTAATCTAATTCTAGCCAGTTGACCAAGACACCAAATCAAACTAATCCTAATTTCCAAGCCATAGTATGGCACTAAAGCATAACCAACACTGATTCAGAAGATATAGGGACTTTTGGTTAAATGAAATCCTGAAAGTGATGAAAAAACTGGTACATGAGAGATGAGGCAGGGAGATACATGTTGGACATTCCAAATTCTTAAAACCATAGTTTAGATGACTGAAATACGCCACTATTAGTGAAAGTAAACTGGACATACAAAAAGATTTAATTTGTGAAGTTAATGTTTATCCTTAATCTTGCTAACATAGCTCTCCCACCCAAGTATTCTCTATTTTTTAGAAAAAAATATGGCACCAGAAAGTAAAAAGAAATGAAACCAGCGAGTACAACTGAAACAGATCCATTGATTTTTATTACAAATGTACTTGATCAGTTCTCTTCAAATATATATATATATATATATAAATAAATACCCTATTTACGTCAGTACAAAATAAAAATTATTTTACAAGTTAAATAAAACTGATAAAAATATTATTTTATTGGAAAATAGTTATAAAATATAATAACCCCCTTGCAGGAAGATTTTTTATTATTTCAAAAGTGCTATCTACCAATTCAGAATAGATCTGTTACTATTGGTCAGCATGAAAAGTCACACTGGTAACTCTAATTGTATGTACTTGTTAGTGCACAAATCCCATCTAATTAGTTGACTACAATATATACAATAATTTGCACAGGTTGAAAGGGATATGGCTGATCAAAACAGTTATTACAATGTTTTAAAAGTAAAAAATGAAGCTCTTTTCAAATGACGTTTCTGGCCTACTATAGGCACTCATAAATTTTCATTGCCAGAAATGGTAGTTCTTGTTTGCACAGTAGACAGATCTACTACATTTTACAAAATACTGAGTGGGTGGTTCTGTTTCACAGTACTTCTCAACAAAAGCTACATAGAATCAGTTGCAGCCCCTGAAAGGATACTGTAAAAAGTGACACTGTCAAGTATTTTTAGGTTAAATGTTTACATTTTTGTAAGCTCTCCATTATCTGCATGCAAAGCTTGCTTACACCCCTTACTCTTGATGGATTAATAAATGTTGCATTTCCTATTTTTGCCCTTCTCTAATTTTCTGCAGCACTCAGAGAATTTCTGCACTACAGTGAATATTATTTTTTAATTACTTTAGCTCCCCCTCTGGCTGAAAATGGCATTTTACAGCATACAATAATAAAGAGGCATGAATCAACAGTGTCTAATTTTAACTCATTTATTTAATTTCTCAGACAGAGCAACTTAAAAAAAAAAACAAGTGGACTTAAAATGAACACAATTGCCATGCTGTGATAATCTGAAAGGGAGATCATATTTTAAAAGTTACTTGACAGTGTCCCTTTCATTTAAAAATAAAACAAAAACAGACTAGGTTTATATTGCAGTGGATTTCAAGTTTTCTTGCATTTCATATAAAATATCATTGTGACTGTGGATCTTTCCTACAAGACACTGAAAACATATTCAGGAAAAATAAGGCATGTTTTCCAAAAGGTGGATGCTTGGCACATTTGAACATACTGTTTTTAAAATACCAAATATGATCAAATATACCATTACTTTTATTCATCTGGCCTTAAAACAAGATTCTCTCACTATTGCTTATTTTAATTGTGAGTTATTGTACCTTGATCAAGTACTGAGCACCTCAACTGGAAAAACATGAACTCAAATCAAGGTAATTTATCGTTCATATAACGTATTATTCACCAGGTCCTAAAATATCTAGTGTGTCTATGGGGGGAAAAAATTCTCAGACTTGGGACACAGAATTCTGCTGGAACTGGACTAAGATATGATACAAGGAGAATCATACAACTCACATATCATCTTGTTCCATCATATAAAGGACTGAATTCTCAGATACATGGGTCAGGAAAAGTTCCTTTTTCTGAATTTTGACTCTCAGGAAAGGGAAATAAACAAAACATCTATCTGTTGACTGAAATAGCTTACACACTGCCTGGAATCAGACAACAGGTTTAGAAAATCAAAGGTAGTAGTAGGTAAGAACTTACTGCCTATAATATGTACCTTCATTCTAGTTTTGCCTTTGATAAACATACATTTGCTATGTTATACAAATCTGGTCACAGGCAATAGTGGGGCAAATAAAATGTACATTCACACCCTGAGAAGCAAAGCACTCTAAAACCACTTAAAGGCTCTTTAAGGGTCTACTGTCTATGTCCAATCTCAAACTGAGTTAAGTATTTTGCTGTTTGACAAGTTTGAATTAATTCAAGTGGAACAAGACTATCCCCCTCCCCATACAAAACAAGTTATTGCTAAAAAACAAAAGCTTCTGCCAACCTGTAGAATTAAAACTTTAGACACTGTAGGGAATAGTAGAACTTAGAAACAAAATAGCAAAAATCAAAACATTAAGCTTTCCAACTACCTACAGCATGGAAAATGCAGTCCTTTCTGCATCACAGTTCAAATACAGTATGAAACCGCCTACAAACACTCCAATTAAAACAAAGCAAGTCTGACACTCAATGTTTTACATGCGGCCAAAAAGTATCACATTATGCACCATGGAAGCTTACTTTTTCCTTATGGAAAAGTGCATCTTAGAAAACAATTGTAATAAATTCCAGTGATTCTAAAAAAAATTCCTAACCACTATATTATTGCACATTTGGTGCTATACAGACACCGTTTAGCAAATATATTTAACTAAAAATAGAGGATACAACTGAAACAGATTTTGTCTTGATAACTTATAATACATCTCCAAAGGAGGGAATTATTTTTTTAACAAAAGATACATTTCTTTTGAACCATCATTGTCTTGCCTAGACCCAATCTCTTACAATCAATGAGAACTAAAACACATTTCTGTTCCTACAGGTGGAATCTCCTACATGCAGTAGTTCAATCCACAAATTTGTTAAAGTAGTTTAGAAAATGAATATGCTTAGAAACTCAAGAATCAATAAGATTCTTGTTTTGTCCATTCTTCCTACAGAATTCCAACTATTTTTCTACTGTTTTAAGGCATCATTTATTGTTTTTCACTTGCAATGATGATAGTCATGCAGCAGTTTAATGATAAAAATATATTAATATTTTTACTATACAGCAGCAAGTAGTTAGTCAATTAAAAGCACAAACATTTTAAAAGAAAAATCTGTAAAAGTATATTACTACAAATAAATTGCAAGTTGGAGAACACTTCCAGAAAGGTTAGCATTCTCACACACTTTTATACTTTACAGTTTTAATATATATCACACAAAGTACATAATTATAACTGAAGGTTTGCACACTTGGGGGAGGGGTCAATACTACATGAATAAAGTATGTAGCCAGTAATAACTAGCACCACAGCTACATGAAAATTTCTTTACAACACACCAACTTGGCTTTTACTTTTAAAGGAAACTCAAATCCATGGCTCAGTAGGATTACACCATAATCATGTTGAACTGATGTCTACGACAGGCCTACACAAGTTAGTTAGCACTAGCATAAGCTGGAGTTCTGACTGAGACTCTGAACAAATTAAAAGAATAGTGCTAGTGGCCACACAAAAAACCCTTACCACCTGTTGTTGAAAAACAGGTATACTGAAAATCGCTGCATGTTAAAGTACTTTAAGTACACTTCATAAAAATATATATATTATGAACAATACAATTACATCTCATATACACAACAATGACAAGATACCTACTTAGTTGTAAACCAAACAGGTGCAGAAAAATATGGGAGATCATTTCTCTCTCTCTTTTTACTATTTGAATAACTTTGGTTCAAACCATAAAAATCACAAGTTAGCAAATTTCATTTAAATGCCTTTTTAATATTTTTTCTTTATGTTCACAGAAGTTTCACTGACCATTTTATATGCTTAAGGTCCAGATGCAATGCATATTGTATAAAAGAGAGCACTTATTGTTTACCTTGCATGAATTAAACCTACGTACCTTTTAACTCTACAGACTTCTGCATAACATTTAGACAAAGCTCAGACACACAGCATGCCTAGCCCTCATATATATATACACATCTCTAATCACAGGTATATAGGGTGTCAAATATACTATAATAACCTCCATGAAAGGTTTTGAAATTTGGTAACAAAATGAGAAGAAAAACTAAAAATATTATTTTACGTGTTCTAAAATATCTCTTTTTTGTGCTAAAGTCAAATGTTAGCTCAACATGAAAAGGACATTTTCTCTTTTTTAATATAATTCAGCAATATTTTAATCTTGACCATTTTTGCAAACACTTTTTTTTTAATAATAATAGCTTAAACGTGTACAAAAGTTCTTGGTTAATTAGGGAAATAAACACTCAGTTCTTTATATTTTTTTAATCAAGTAGGAAACACAGTTCATCTTATATAATGTTATTACTTTTTTTGTAATTTTTTTGTTTGTTTGTTTTTAGCAGCTGCTTACTGTTTTATACGATGAGCAAGAGTGGAAGGAACAATCCAGCGATGGGGTGGAGAGAAAGAAGTTGCTTGCTCGGCTGTCAGTTTTGGTGGTGGATAGGTAGATGGTGCTCCCCTTGGAGTTATAACAGGTATATTTAACGGTATGCATTATTTTCGGTTTGTGGATGTTGGTTTTCTCTCTTTCTCTCCCTTACAGTATAAAGTCTTTCTCTGTGTGTTGTTGTCATTATTACCAGTGTCTCTGTGCAGCAGGGCAGGGAGGAGGCAGCCAAGTGGGAAGGAGGGATGTGGGGAGGAGGGAGGAAAGATAGATGGAGATCAATCCTCCTCTGGCTCCTCCGCCTGCAGCAAGGCTCCCGGCGGGCCAGTGGGGATAGCGGTGCTGCTGCTGCTTTCGGTCTCCGGCTGCTGCTCTGTTCCGCCGGAGGAGGAGGAGGATGCGGCGGCGGCAGCGGCGGCCCGCTTGTCTCTCTGCTTCTCCTGGATCTTCTTCATCTCGTCCGAGTACTTGCAGAAAGTGTGCCCGAATTTGGCCCACACCTTGTAAGGGACGGTGATGGAGTTGCGGTAGGTGGGCTTGACCTCGCTCACCCGCATGAAAACGCCGTACTTGTTGGAGCCCACGTCGAAAAAGAACCGCTTGTTGTCCACCGTCAAGGAGGTGCCCTCGGGAAGCTCGGCCGGCTCCTCCTCCACGCCGTAGTCGTCGATGAGCTTGGCCAAGGCGTCGCGGAACTCGATCAACCCCTGGGCTGGCAAGGCGATGGTCTGGCCCTGTGTGGAGCCGAGGCCTGGACCGCGGTTGACTGTCTGGCGGATGCGCAGGAATCGCCCGCGCTGGTTCTCCTTCAAATCCATGTAATACTTGCGGTTCTCGCGCACCAGGAATTCGCTTTTCAGGGCCCGCCGGGGCTCGTCCGCGGCCTGCGCCAGCTCCGGCGGTTGGCTGGGCCCCAGCTGCGCGTAGTGCTCGATGAA